AGACGCCAACTTTACCAGACTTAATATAGTTCTCTACTTCTCTGTAGTTCTGAAAGCAGTGGCGGACCTAAGGCATTGCAGGGTGTGTCGTCCGACACACCCTCGCTCGAGAATTTTATGAAGGACCTACATATTTTCGGTACAAAATTTTTTACTTCGAGTTAGCCGACACACCCTCAATAATTATAGCCGACACACCTTCATTATACTCGAAGAAATTATTATTCAAATGAATCAATCTTAATCATAATCCTTTTTAATTTTGTTTAAAATAACTCATAAAGCATAATCTTATCCTTCCTATTAAAAAACACTCTTAGCCCATACAATATACATGTGTGATGAGTGTTGGGCATGTGCCTTTAATTAAATGAGAAAAGAACCCACAGGCCAAAAGCCCAGTCGGCCACTAGCCCACTACCTCCCCATTATTATTCCTTCCCTCCTCATCCCCAATTAATGGCTCAATCTCCCCAATTAATGGCCCAATGCCATAATCCATCTCCATATCTCAATTCCCAGCAAGCAATCCCCATTATTCCCCCTGGTTCCCTCTTCTCTCGCTCGCAAAAAATCCCAGACCCCAGACGAGCAAAAAACCCAGACAAAGGCAGAACGGGCAAGTCGGCACGGCAACCCATCTCGGCCTCGGCGGACATCCCTTCACCGGAGGGCAGCGCGGCGGCGGCAATTTGACACACGTTCAAAGGAGGCACAAGGTAAAGTAATGAATTCTCTGCTTCAAATGCAAACTTTTCAGTTTGTCTTTCACATGAAGATGATGATTGAAGTGCTTGCAATTACAAATGAGTTGTCTATAGCATTACAAAGGAAAGATCAAGACCTTGTTAATGCTATGGAAATCATTAATTGCTCAAAGAAGAGACTACAAGAGTTGAGAGATGAAGGGTGGGAACCTCTATTTGATGATGTGGTTTCATTCTGCACTAAGGAACAATTTCATGTTCCTAACATGAATGACTTGTTCACTCTTGCTGGAAGAACAAGACGTAGCACCCCTCATCAGCCTACAAACTTGCATTACTATCAAGTCGATTTATTCTATGCAGTTATAGATTTGCAGCTGCAAGAATTGAATACTCGATTTGGTGAGGTGAACACTCGATTGTTGGATTGCATTTCTTGTTTTAGTCCAGCTAACTCTTTTGCTTCTTTTGATAAAGCAAAGTTGATGAGTCTTACTGAGTTTTATCCCGAGGAGTTTCCATCCAATGTGCTCTCACGACTTCATCAACAATTGGGGGGCTACATTTCTCATGTCAAGGAGGATAAGAGCTTTGATGGATTGCGAGGAATCGACGAGCTAGCTAGGAAATTGGTGGAAAGGGGAAAGGACACTCTTTATCATTTAGTTTACTTGCTGTTAAAGTTGGTGTTGACCTTACCTGTGGCAACTGCAAGCTGCGAAAGAGCATTTTCAGCTATGAAGATAATCAAGAACGATCTTCGAAATCGGTTGAGTGACCAATTTATGAATGATTGTTTAGTTGTGTATATTGAAAAAGATTTGCTTTGCTGCATAAGTGATGAATGTATTTTAGAGACATTTCAGCAGATGAAAAGTCGTCGTGGTTCGTTGTAAACATGACATTGTGAACTTTATGAATTAATTTCTTTTAATTTTAACTTAATTTTTAATTTAATTTAATTATTATTTTATTTTATCGGCGACACACCTCTCCGACAATCCTGGGTCCGCCACTGTCTGAAAGTAAATGTAACTAAGTGTTTTTCTTATCATAACCTACGCATAGCTTTATTAAACAATGGAGGCTGTTACATCATCAAGTTTAAGACGATCAAGCAAATAAATTGGTGGCCGGTCAAACCAGACCTCCGCCACCTCCCATCTAGTCTCCGTGTGTGCCATGATATGAGTCGCCCCGTTTGCTTCACGATAAACATGTCGCACTGATCCTGAGGTTTCTTCCCCCAATATCCTTCTAATATCACGACAAACCACACCTAGCTCCGCAAGATTCGCATCTGCTCCAGCGATTGCATTGACCACGATTAAACTATCAAGTTCCAAGGCAAGACACCCAAGATGCTGCTGGTGAACAAGCTGTAAACCAAATTCGTCAGTCAAGGCCTCATCCATCTACGGCGTCGCAACCCCTCTGATCTTCTTTGCCGCTGCTAAAATAAATTGCCCATTGTGATCTCGAATAACAACGCCCAGTCCTGTGCCATCTCCAAAGTAACCAGGGGGGGGGGGGGGGGGGGGGGGGGGGTTTCCCAACTTCATTCTTCATTTGTTGCAGCCAATACTCATCGAGGATAGCCCTTGCTCGCAGGATGATCTCTCCCTCCACCATCTTCCCGCCGTTGAAGCACTGAGCATTGCGCTCCTTCCACACATCCATAATACCATGGCCCAGTCCTCAAACACCTCATCCTCCACTCTCCCCCACCTCAGCAACCCAATCCATGCACTCACGTCCACCCCTAAGCATGAAGCAATTACTTACATGAGAGACCCTCCAAAGCCTACTCGCCCATGCACAGTCGAAGAACAGGTGAGTGTGAGTTTCTCTCAGATTGCAAAATGGGCAAGCATCGCCCCGCCTTGTACTTTGTACACTGACGTGGTCCCCCATAGCTAGGGAGTCTCGCGCAAACCGCCACATAAAAATTCAGACTTTTGGATGCACTTTCATTGACCAAATCCTGTTCCACATAGCTGCATCTCCCACGGCTACCAAACCCTTCTCTTACCGAAAATTGGCTAGCCATCGTCTGTATCCCTCCTTAGCCGTGTTGTAGTTACCATCCTTACTTTCCACCCATATCAACCGGTCACTGTCGCCCAATGCTTGGAGCGGGATTTGTCGAATCGACTCCACCACGTCCATTGGAAAACAACTCTCTATTATCGTCTCATCCCACTTCTCCAAGTCTTCATCAATCAAGTCCCTAATACGCCCCTGGGGGGTGTATGTTATCAAAGTCACGCAGCTAACGACTCAATCGAAGAATCGATTGAGCTCGAATCAAGAACGAAGCTTTCTTAATACGAACTTGGATAAAACGGAACCAAAAGGACAAATCCACACCTGGGGATAGCTCGATTGGTATAAAAGGGTAGTTGCTCGACCACGATTGAAGTGACTATTCAATCGATACACAAGCTCAGCAAGTTTGGAATCCACCAAACTCAAAACAAGTTCGCAAACTTGCAAAACCAAACGGTTTCTTTTCTATTCAATCAACTCTGAGTTTTACAACGAAAGTAGAAAGGTATTTAAAGGCAAATAAACCTAATACAACCCTAATAGAACTAGGAAACAATTAAGGTAAAAATCTACTCTAAAAAGGACTCAAAATTCGGATTTAAACTCTTTCTTCAAGTGCAAGAAAGCTGCCCGCAACAGTCCAAAAGCAGCCTTCTTACTAACTTCGCGCCTTTCGTTCGAGGCCTTCACGAACTCCAATTCTTCATCCAATTCCTTCCCTTTGTTCACAAACATACCTAGTTTGATGTTGTAGAAGCATTTGGTCTCGAATCAGATCCATGCTCCTTGAACTGAGCTCAAAAGTAGGCTTCACAAAACAGTTTCCAGACTTAACCATTTTCTGGCAGTTTTCCAGTTTTGAGGTAGCAACTTTGAGGTCTTGGAAAACAATCTTAATGACATCATCTGGCTTCAAAAAGCATATCATTGGAAACATGGACACTTTATCTACAATACAAACCCTTGAACTGGAGTTTACACCAAGCCAATTGAGAGAACCATGCCTCCAAAGTATGTAACCTGAACACGGATTTTGACTTAGCCAAATTCTGCCTTTCTTCTTTCCAACCTTGATAGCTTCTTTGGTAAGTAATTGTGACTTGTAGAAGTGGCCAATTTGGATCATATCAGGCTCCCCCTCTTCAAAAAGCTTTGACCTCAAAGCTTGATCTTTCCTTTTGTCAAAATCATCACAGAATCGATCCCAAATTGGATCGAAAGTAGGCTGCTCAAACATGTTCTTCGACGCAAAAATTTCAGCTTCCCTGCACATCTTGTCCAATTCGATGGCGCCTTTCTCTACTATCACAGCCTTCCCTTCATCTCCTAGCAATTTCTGACCAGTATCAGCATCAATCATCAACGAACAGTGAGCTAGCAATTTCCCAGGACAGCTCAAATTCGCGACGAACATCGTCCCTTGCTCTGAATCCGAGTTCGGAATATCCAAGCTGCCATTCTTCAATTCAATTCTCGAGGAAGCTTTCTCCAACAGAGAATTGAATTCCCCGTCCGATTTCTCACTTCGAATACCCCTGGTAAGTGAGGAATCATCATCTCCAGTTTTCCCGGCGTCGTCGCTTTCAAATTCCTGCGTATCGAGAAACCCAGAATAAAATTTGGGCATTTTTGATTCTCCGCCGTTTTGGTCGATCTCTGGATCTCCACACATTCCTTGGACCTCCAGAAACTTGTCCATGGTTTCGGTTCTGCTCGGTTCGCCCTCAATTGCTCCAACGAGGTACTCGTGTTTGGAGCTCAATTCCGGCAATTGCAGAGGCAATTTTCCCAACTTATGAACTTGTATTTGAAGCTGATTGGCGTCGATTGTTGTTAGGGAATTCATTACTGGGAGTTTTTCGAGCATATTGGTGGAGTCTTCTTTGCTCGACTCATTACCCAGCTCTCCACCGGCTTCTCCCTCTCTCCTACTCTGTTTTCTCGAGGAAGAACAGAGGCGTCGCACGCCGGCGCTGTTTGCTCCCAAAACCTCACAGCTTGACAGCTCCAACGCCGGTGACTCATTTGGGTTTGTTTCTTATTCATTGACGACCAATTCCGAGGCAGAATTCGATGGTTTCTGGATGTCCAATCGATCCTTTGGCCGAGAGAAATCTGCACTCTGTTTTCGCGGAATAATACTGAGACGTCTATCGATGGCAGACTCGAGCTTGTCGATCCCACGTTGTACCCGATCAAATTGGGGCTGTAATGCCGCTTTGAACGCTTCTATAACCACATGCTTAAACTCTTCCATGTCTATTTGCTGAGTCCCCATCGTCTGCTCTTCAATTGGAATTCGAATTACAACACTCTGCTGCTCCTCTGTTTTGTGTGTTCTGAATTCGTACGAGAACACAACCCTCTCGTTTCTTCCTTGGCCCTGTGTTGAACGGGCCTCTGATACCACTTGATACGCCCCTGGGGGGGTGTATGTTATCAAAGTCACGCAGCTAACGACTCAATCGAAGAATCGATTGAGCTCGAATCAAGAACGAAGCTTTCTTAATACGAACTTGGATAAAACGGAACCAAAAGGACAAATCCACACCTGGGGATAGCTCGATTGGTATAAAAGGGTAGTTGCTCGAGCACGATTGAAGTGACTATTCAATCGATACACAAGCTCAGCAAGTTTGGAATCCACCAAACCCAAAACAAGTTTGCAAACTTGCAAAACCAAACGGTTTCTTTTCTATTCAATCAACTCTGAGTTTTACAACGAAAGTAGAAAGGTATTTAAAGGCAAATAAACCTAATACAACCCTAATAGAACTAGGAAACAATTAAGGTAAAAATCTACTCTAAAAAGGACTCAAAATTCGGATTTAAACTCTTTCTTCAAGTGCAAGAAAGCTGCCCGCAACAGTCCAAAAGCAGCCTTCTTACTAACTTCGCGCCTTTCGTTCGAGGCCTTCCCGAACTCCAATTCTTCATCCAATTCCTTCCCTTTGTTCACAAACATACCTAGTTTGATGTTGTAGAAGCATTTGGTCTCGAATCAGATCCATGCTCCTTGAACTGAGCTCCAAAGTAGGCTTCACAAAACAGTTTCCAGACTTAACCATTTTCTGGCAGTTTTCCAGTTTTGAGGTAGCAACTTTGAGGTCTTGGAAAACAATCTTAATGACATCATCTGGCTTCAAAAAGCATATCATTGGAAAAATGGGCACTTTATCTACAATACAAACCCTTGAACTGGAATTTCCACCAAGCCAATTTAGAGAACCATGCCTCCAAAGTATGTAACATGAACACGAATTTTGACTTAGCCAAATTCTGCCTTTCTTCTTTCCAACCTTGATAGCTTCTTTGGTAAGTAATTGTGACTTGTAGAAGTGGCCAATTTGGATCATATCAGTCCCCGAACGATGCATCAACTGGCAGCCCCATAGAGGCGGACTGAATGATATATCCCGGAGCCGTCGGAATCCATCGATCACCCCAAACCCGCACAGACGTACCGTTTCCAGTCCTCCACCTAAGCCCCGCCACCAGAACTCCTGAGCACTCTTAAGGCTTCTCCACACATAGCTTGGCCGATGACCTAGCTTAGCGTCGCTAGTAGAGGTTCCAAAGCTGGCGCGCAAGAAGGGAGATGTTAAAACCCTGGAGATCACGTAAACCCATTCCTCCTTTCGGTTTCGGTCCAATCAGGCTTTCTCGAGCTATCCAAGGGATCCTTGTCTCTTCACCTTTTTGACCCCACTAGAATCGCATGATCATACGATGAATGTCATCTATAATCCCGTCCGGTATCTTGAAAATCGACATTGCATACGTCAACTGTGCTTGGGCAACTGACTTGATGAGGACTTCCCTTGCCGCAATCAACATTATCCTTTCCTTCCACCCCGCAAGCGTCTTCCGAACTCTCTCCTTCAGGAAAGTGAATAGCTCCTTCTTCGAACGACCTACATGTGTCACCAACCCTAGGTATTTATCGTGTTTCTCAACAATACGCATACCCAGGATAGCACCCAATTGGAGGCGCTGATGAGGCCGCACACTCGCCCCAAACATGACTTACAATTTCTCAAGGCTCACCAACTGGCCTGACTCCTTTTCATAATCTTGTAGGATACACCTTAGCTCCAAACTCTCATTTATTGTGGCATTAGCAAAAAAGATAGAGTCGTCAGCAAAAAAGAGGTGGGATATCACAGAGGCACCCCTCTGTTCCACGTCTACGATTTGCGCACCGAAGCTCGACAAAATGTGTGAAAACAGTATGATGCATAACTCGAATTTGGATTCTCTTATTCTCCCAATCGTTTCGAAAGTTTAGAGTATTTAAAGAACTTAGATGTTCTTATACTAATGCATAACTCGAATACATGTTACTACTATTATTTACGTAATTCACAACTGAATTCGACCAACTGGTCGGGCCATAGCTAATATTGATTGATAGAAAAGTGAAACAAAACTCGTCCACCAATTTGGCGGGTGGAAAGCTAGTGAATTTTTGAAGAGTTGTCTATCGAAGCTGAATAAAGACCACGTGATGATATACATTAGGATATCTTTGCCTTTGCCTATGCCACCAACTTCTGCACATGTTTAAAACAAAGTAGGTAGATTTATCACAGTTCCACAGCACAGAAAAAAGTAGGTGGTGTTTTCATGAGTGTTCTTCTTGTCTATAAACACTCCTCCCCGTACATCAGAACCTTAAGAGCGAAACCAAATCCATTTTGAGAAGGCAAAACAGAATGAATGGCAACTCTTCCACCGCCGGGAAACCAATTCGATGCAAAGGTATGTTTATATGCTTTTGTAAAATGCGTCATAATTCACATCCTTGATATTGTCTCTAGTTTATTTGTTTTCTAGATTGAGGCTACATTGCAAACTCTTATGGGTAACGGGAACAACATTACTCAAGTATTAGGAAAAATCAAGTATAAAAAATACATGTTAGGAAGGTCATAATTCTAAAGTGGTACGACTTGCAAGTTGTGAAATGATGTTTTCATTGATCTCATGGTTTTGTACTATTGTTTACAAAGACATGTATAGTCAAATATATGATTCATCTCGACTTCCATTCATAATGTTGCGCATTTTAGTTTAAAGAAGAAAAAAGAAGTAAAATATTAAACCTTCTCCTATCTAATTAAATTTCATTAACCAAATGCTTATGAATTTTGATGTTTTTTTTACAGCTGCAATTTGTCGAAAAGCAGGCGATCGCCTTGTAATAGAGGAGGTAATAGTTGCTCCCCCAAGCCGCCATGAACTTCGTATTAAAATCATATGCACTGCACTCTGCCAAAGCGACGTCATTTTCTCGAAACTCGTGGATCCTCCCGCCATCTACCCCAGAATCCTTGGCCATGAAGCGATTGGGTAATGATTTCTATTGATTGATTCGTTTTTAATCATTTTTATACCTCAGAAGAATGGACCGCGACTAGAAGCACACCAAATCAACCTCGTCAAAATCAATATTTAGTCAAACTAAATCGAATGAAATACAATTCGTTTATCATGTGGTTCAATATATTTTTTTTCAAACCAGAATCATCTCAATTCCGATCTACCTCTAAATCGAACTCTACCAGCTAATTTTCATTCTAGATTCTCTCCCAATTTTATCAAAATTTGGACCGGATCAAACTAGACCAAGAATTAACTTTCCCCCCTCTCCCTTTCTTCACCTTTTTTTTTCCCCGGCAGGGTGGTGGAGAGCATCGGCGAGGACGTGACCGGAGTCAAGCCAGGGGACACGGTCATCCCGACGTTCATGTCGGACTGCGGTGACTGCGCCGACTGCCACTCCGAGAAGAGCAACCTCTGCTCCACGCTGCCGTTCAACATAACGCCGTACATGCCCAGAGAGGACAAAACGAGGTTCACGGACCTAAACGGCAACCCGCTGTACCACTTGTTCTACATCTCCAGCTTCTCCGAGTACACCGTCGTCGACAAAAACTACTTCGTCAAAATCGACCCTTCTTTCCCTCCCGACCGCGCCTGCCTCCTCAGCTGCGGCGTCGCCACCGGTAAAATACATGTTTTTGACTGTCTTGCTGCTCAGTAATTACTCAACGGCTAATAAAATTTAACTATGGGAGGAGAGTTAAATTTTTTTGAAGGTGTGGGTGCGGCGTGGAGAACGGCTGAGGTGGAGCCGGGGACGACTGTCGCAGTGTTTGGGCTGGGCACTATTGGTTTAGCGGTAATAAAGGCTATTGATTTTGCATTTCTCTGGGCCGAATTGGGCCTGTTTAAGTTGTTTCCGTTTGGGCTTGGCCCATTTTCTGTTCTTCTATTTCTCCCTTTGAAAATGGCCCAGTAATTTCTGTTTGGTTGCTTTCTTGCTACATACACAGGCTGCAGAAGGAGCAAGGCTGTGTGGTGCCAAGAGAATCATAGGAGTGGATGTGAACCCAGACAAGTTCGAAATGGGTAAGTGATGAGGGTGTAATTAACACAATAGCTCAACTTTAACGCGATCGATTTGAGTTATCGCGACTTCTTGTTTGTCTTTTTTCTTTTTCTTTCGTCCTAGATAGAGGAAAGAACCAGAATAATTATACCGCGAATAACAAACACAAAGTTACGCGGAACTTGAAGTCATCACGCTTAATTATGTCATAATGTATCATATACAGGTAAGAAGTTCGGGCTGACGGACTTCGTGAACCCGAAGACCTGCGGTGACAAATCGGTGAGCGAGGTGATCTTGGAGATGACAAATGGAGGAGCAGATTACTGCTTCGAATGCGTGGGGATGGCATCGTTGGTCGAGGAAGCATTTGCCTGCTGCCGTCATGTACCTATTTTTTTTCCCTATGTTGATCCTCTGTTTTTCTCTTCTTTCATTGTTTGGTGGGAAATTCAAATCCTCAATGAGACGTTTTTTTTTTGTCTGTGATTATAGGGTTGGGGAAAGACAGTTGTTTTGGGAGTGGACAAGCCAGGGACGCCGTTGAAATTTAGCTCAACCGATGTGCTCAGAGGCCATAAGATCCTGACCGGTGCTTTGTATGGCGGTCTCAAGGCCAAGCGAGACGTTCCCATCTTGTGTAAACGTTATCTCGATAAGGTACGGTATTTACCATTTCTGTTTGTTTGTAAGAAATTGATGGATTGGGATTTGAAGAGGTTGCTGAGTCGTTTATTGGTGCAAATGACAACCGAGGTGGTAAATTTTTTTTTTTTTTCTTTTTTGCCTAATTCACGAAAGATCATTTGTGTGAATGTGACTAGCATTAACATGATTATTATTGGCGGTTAACAACTTTATATGTTAGGTCTACTTCAATTCAAGAATGATTATGAATGAACACATATTTACCCGTAATGATTATGATATATGCATTGATTGGTGATTAAACTGAATATGGACTGTCATAACTCGTCACTAGAGATGGCAACGGGTAGTAGGTGAATAGTGCATATCCGTTATCCTACGTAAAGCGGTTCTGGTTTTACCCATACCTATATCCACATAAAAATCGGGTAAAAAAATAAAACCAGACCCAGACCAATACCCGTTCGGGTTTTGGGTATCCACAGTGTTCCATGGGTAATAATTTCTCTTTATAACTCCAATCAAAATATTAACATTCACACGTATACTCACATTATATAAGTGGAAAAGTACAACAATAATTCACTTAAATGGAGAAAATTAATTTCAGACAACACAATTTCATGAAAACATTACATTTATATGCTAAAAATAAAATATGTTGAGAAAAATAATGATAATTTCTAGACAAAATACACATGCAAGTGTATATAATCGGGCGGGTTCGCATTGGATATTGAGAAAATCATGCCCATCCGTTACTCGCAATATTCGGGTTCAAGTTTTACCCTTACCCACTGAAAATCGTTCGGATTTGGATTTTACCCTATCCAATTAAGTCGGATTCAAACAGATATCCACAATTTCAGATATTTTTCCTATCCTTACTTGTGATTGATTATAATAAATAAAAAATGAGATGTCGCCCATTTGGTTTTGACCTCAAATTTAAGTGATCATTGCGTTACTGTCTCTACTAAAGTTTTAATGTTAAATTTGGTTGTGGTGGTGCAGGAGCTGCAACTGGACGAGTTTGTGACTCATTCAGTAAAGTTTGAAGAGATCAACAAAGCATTTGATCTGTTGGAAGAGGGAAAATCACTGAGATGTGTGATTTGGATGGATAAATGATCTACAGTACTATATTTCTTATGAGTTATGACTTTGGCATTGCGAAATTATCTTTATATTTTCTATTTTCCTAATCTATCTCAATGGTTGTGTATGTTATGTTTGTTTATTTTCTTCGATTCGGTCGATGTAATAAAAAACAATTGGTCAGAAACTATGATGGCCTCTTCAATTATTCCAACTCTCATTGTAAGCTATGATGATGGCCACTTCATTTAATAATGCGGATTGTGATATTATGTTAATTCTATATTGTGCCATTTCCATTATAGTCTGACGCTATTATCCACCACAAAACTGTATCATTAGCAACTTACCGGATATCGTACCGGTAATGATATAATCGTGGTTTAATCATAGTTCAATCGTTAGACCGTTAAATATCGTCTACCGATTTAACTTCCGATATTGATATTTCGTGGTTGAACCACCGGTACGGTACGGTTTCATGCAATCCCTATTGACTAGGCCAGGGACGGTCAGATACCCGTGGGCATGGGTTTGATTGCCATCCCTATTGACAGTACATAGCATTATATCGTGGTGTGAATATGCATGTGTATCATGGTGCTGTGAATATACGTACAATGAGTTTGTACGTATATTCACACTGTAGTAGAAATATACTAACAACCATTTACCACATTTGACAATCGTCTACCTTAGTTACCAGTCTATATCAGAGTGGTATAGCGTGATATATTTCATCCTAAATTTTTTCTCACTCCATAAAGTTGTAGATCACGATGAACCAATCCTTTTGTGTAAACTTTTTTAAAAATTAGAGTTGAAAATAAAGATTGGTACAAAATGATACCATATGGTATTGTGATGGTAATGAATGGTGAGAAATAAATTCCCGAATTTTGAAATGAGTATATTTTTCTAAATCATAACGAACGCGTTCCATTTGTGTGAAAAATTATAATCAAATTTAAAAAAAATAAGTCAATCAAATAGTAAAAAGATATTAATTTATTACATTAGATCTGAACAAGGTTGTCAACCCGCGGGTTGACCCGGATCCGGTTGAGCTAGTGGGTCAAGGGTTAATGGGTCACCCGTTTTAGCCCGGTTTAGCCCGGAAATATGGAAAGTGTCATTATATTGTACTTATCCTGATAAATTATATCAAATCTCATCTAACATATAATATTACACCAAAATAACATTTTGTACTTAGATTCAACATATAGTGAAAATTCACACACACTTATATAACATTAATATTCAAATGTTCAACTTAGGATTCCAAAAATTGAGTTAGGCGAAAAGAAAAATCGGAAAATAGGCGCATTTCCCAAAATAAAGAAAAAAATGACACAATTTGACCTCCAACCCGGTATCTTGTAGCGGTCGACCCGACGGGTGCCTGCGGCCCGTTTTTCTCACCGAGTCAGGATTAAAGTGGGTCAACCCGCGGGTCGACAACCTTGGATCTGAACGACTATGGTTGGCAACGGGCTGGTCGGGGTGGTTTCCCTGCATCCGTACCCCGCCCGTTAGTCCTCTACGGGTTGAAGATCCCACCCGCACTCCTGACTCCTGGCTGTCGGGAGGAAAAAAGCACCGCCACCCGCCCGTCCCTGGGTTCCGGGTTTACCCGAAATAAATTATACCGGGTCAGCAGCCATAGTTTGACTTTACACCAACTCTACATGAAATAAACAAAAACCAACTTTCAACAGCATAGCATATCCAAATATCCCAATCCACTAAGATGCTAAACTCCAGCAACTCAAAAGCAAAGTAAAAGCAATTCCAATCCAAATCCCAATCACGGCTAAGCTGGAAACTTGTCCAATCCCAATCAAATCTAAGCGGGAAACAAAAGCAAGCAAAATGCAAGCAAAAAAGCACTAGTAGCATCGTCCTTCAGCGGCAAAAGACTTCTGCAGCAACCACAGCAAGGTAGCTCAAGTCTTCAGCAGCATCAGCAAGCCACATCCAGCCTTCAGCAGCAACAGAACGCCAGCACCAATTCACTCATCAGCAGCAGAAAACGGCAGCGAGCAAGGGAGCAACAGTCTGCACCCTTCCTCTCAACTCAGCAACAAAATAAAGACACCCAGCAGGATCAAAATGAACTCGACAACAGCAGCAAAATGAATTCCATAGTTCTTTAGTTTTAGCTGTTAAAACACCATAAACTCAGTAGCAACTCAAAGCCATTCTTCTCAACAACTCACCACTAAAGCGCAACATCCTGCTCCTAGAAGTTAGTCCACATCCCCTAGGTTGTATGCGTTGTTCCTTCGAGCATTGTCTACATTATAAACGCACAAGTGATATAATTGTTAGTAGCACTAATATAAGAAAATGAAGGAAGAGTAATTGCAAAAACCTTCCAGAATTGCACATTCACTTAATGCCTCAGCTTGAACCATGCGAGTTTCACTCAATGAAGAGAAGCAACCCTCTAGATTCCCTGCATCATCATCACGACTCTCCTCTACTTGAAAAAATAACATGCAACAAAGAATTAAATCAGTAGCAACAGAAAGTTGAGATAATGACTAATGAATGTACTAAAACAAACTAAAGACACTACGGGAAAAGTGGTCTTTGGCAACACTCTTCCTGTAACACTTTTTAGAAGTGTTACGTAAAATGAATATAGGCAACGCTTACAATATGTGTTGCTTAATATATATCTTATGCAACACAAATTAGCATAACTTAAATTATTGTTGTATATAGTTTATATTACACAACACTGGTGTGATAAAACAAAATTGTGTTGCCTATTCTTATATTTTAGCTAACAATGTTACATATTATACCAATCCTATAGTCCTTTTATATTGGTATTATTAAATAGATAGAGTTAAAATTAATTACAACTTCACTACAATTGAAACAAATTGAACTTGTAATTTGAATAATGTGAAAAAGAGTTTGTGTACCATGAGTGAACTTTGTATTCTTTTTTCGCAGCCAATTCCCTTCACCTTTCGGCAACCCTCCACTCCTTATAATAAAAATAAACTAAACCCTAAAATAATCCCAGCAGCAAGCAGTCGAGAAAAATCCGTTATTTGATAAGATCAGCCGATAAACACATCTTCAAATCGCCTCCCAGCTTGTCCCTCTCTCGGCAATGGTTCCAAGAACGGAATCCACCTACTAGGACCCGCGGAACAAGAATTGACGGCAGTCCCGATGAATCAATGGCGGGCTGCGGCATCGGAGACAGATCCGAAGAAACAGACGTCTCCAATGGTGATGTTTCGGCGTCGGGATTCCATGGAGCCGCACGGCGATATGGGAACCAAAGCTGTACAATATTTTGTACATAAGAAGGATGACGATTGCCGAGCACGGGAAGCAACCTGGTGACAGGAAGCCGTGGAGATTAGTGGACCAAGGTACTATCAAGTAGCACCACCTGGAACTTGGATTGGAAGCTAATTAAGTAGGTGATTTTCCCGGGTCCACTTCAATCTTGGGTTCGGTTTGGATTTTGCAAATGAAGGAGGTTAGTTGTCAATTTTTATTTCATGATTGAGATTAAGGATCACAAAGGGATTGGTATATAATTTGTCAAGGAATTACACATGAACTAATTGAACAACTACTTGAATGGATGGATCAATGCTAGTCAACGTGGGAATTATCATGTAGTGGTGCAACTAGTGGTGGTAATATTGTCGTTAGGATGATAACTGGTGTCCTAGGTTTTTGTGAATGGGGATTTAAATTAGAAAGGCTTTAGGACAAGTATGTTATGGATCATGGATAACAGAAAGTAAAGATGCATGGGTGGATGAAAATTAGAGAGAATTGCAGAGGAGAAGGGTTGTGACTTGTACGTGAAGACTCGGCCTTGCTTTATTGCGTCCAACAATCAGGTTCAGTATCGTACCTCTCCTAGTTCTTCCGTTAATTTGATGAGTCATTAATGAACTTTTCGACATATTGATAATTTCGTTCACTGTAGTATTCCTCCTGTGCTAAGTGTATTGGGAGCTTAAGAACCACAGATTTGATTTATCCATGGGTAAATCTCTAGTCCATAAACTTTACATACGTTGCTTTTCCCCCTTCTTTTTCATATAATTGTGAAAACATCTCAATTGGATTGTAGGGGAAAAAAGGAACTTGGAGATATCTTCCCAGAAGGGATCAGTTGCAAGAGTCATGAGCTGGTACACTGAGATTGTGTGTTGAGTGCAAGATGTCTTCTTTTTCATATAATGTGTTTGTTATCCTTGTTTTTCATGTTTAACTATAAAATTAATTTCTCTGGTTAGTTTGATTCTTCTATGTATGTATAGGATAGGTTATATTCTTAACAGTAGTTGGGGCTTTGTGCCTATTGCATGTAGGACTACACTCCTTGACTTTATAACTACGATTTCAGTTAGTGTGTTAGTTCTAATTTGATCATTTCACTAGCTACAATCTATACCTCCTCATTTTTCAGTTTGAGATTCAATAATTCAAAATTTCTTATTTGGTTGATGACATTTGCTTTAAATGTTAAGGTGTGTAGTAATAAAACAAAGAAGAAATAAGGTGAAGATAAAAGAGGACCGATCGAGGAGACAAAGTCACCAAGGGAAGCACTACTTTCAAGTCATATAAAGCATCCACTTTCCAATACCTTGAGAATAATATTGTTGTATTTATTATTTATAGCTTTAGCACATGTATAAGATGCTAATACTGTCATTACATTTGTAAATACTTTTGGTGACAAATTAATCGTCACATTTATATAATTTTAGTTAATTCCGATTTGTCACAGATGTTATGCATATGTGATAAAAGATTTTGTCACAGATAGTTACTTTAATGACACCATTATACTTACTGAAACTCGCTTTTGTGACAATGGCACCATCACGAAAGTAATAAATTTGTGACAAAATTGAAGTGGTGACATTTGATAGATATTTGTGTCGACACTAACTTGTCACAAAACTAGCTTTGCTCACAAAATTTTGGACACAAATGTATATTATTTGTTACAAGAGAAAGTTGTCACGATCGTGTAAGTCTTATGCAACAACAAATCGGACAAATGAAGTATATACATGTTCCTTATACTTGTTAAAAAGTGTTGCATAAATTATTTGAGGTGTTACTTATAATGGTGTTGTCTAAAGTGGTATGTATAAGCAACACATTTTTTGTTGTTGCAAGAAGTTAAAATAATGTTACCTATGACTTTATACAACACCACCTATAGAGGACACTACTAAAAGTGTTGCATATCACATATGCAACACTTTTGACACTTCTTGCAACACATTTCAAGTGTTGCCAAAGATCATTTTTCCTGTAGTGAGATAGCAATTACCATTATCTTGTAGCCAAGTCCTCGTGCACATTAGAGCTTCAACCGTTGATTGATGCAGCCTGCTCCTATGAGGATCCAATAATCGGCCTCCAGAGCTAAAGACTGACTCCGATGCAACAGAAGTGACAAGAATAACAAGAATGTATCTTGCAAGATCGGGTATTTAGGACCATTAATCTTCCACCACATAAGTATATCAAAATCAGACGTACGAGGAAGGATCTCTTCATTCAAATAAGCATTTAACTCTGTTGTAACAGATGAAGTCATAGACTTCTTCCTTCGACTAACAAACAAGTCAAAACCATGATATGTAGTAGTGGACTTTGCAGGTGGATCATTCCCAACGGCAGCAAGATTGTTACCATTCACCCTTGATTGGTATTCAACCACCAAATCTCCTAAAATTCCTCTAATTTCAGTAGCACTCAATGATGAACTACCATCTAGTCCAATTTTTCAGCATAATACTCGACAATGTCAAGTTTATACCGTGGGTCTAAAACAACAGCAACTGCCCAAATCTGTTGGATCACTTCCCAATATTTGTTGAACTTTGCCCACATCGATTCAACCATATGTTGAATACCCTCATTCGGATCAAACAACCATTCACATATTTTAATCCTCAAATCACATATGCGAGGAAATAACAAGTTGACAGTAGGATATTTGGACCCCGAAAACATGTCAGAAACCGAAGTAAAACAATGGAGCTTCTCACATATAATTGAAGCAAACAACCAATCATCACTGGCAGGCAAACAATCTGATAGAAACAAGATTCTATCGGATTTGATAATTTGGGGATTAGGGTTATACGAACAGAATTAGGGATTGAGATTGGGATTAGGAGAGGAAAGTCTACATGAGGGGGAAGGATGCCATAATAATCTCACCGGTCCTGCAAAAATGTTAGAAACCGAAAGACTTTCCAACCAACACATTAATCTCACCCGCTCCCGCTCAGCCCCACCCCGAAGAGAAAGACTTCTCTTCGGGGTGGGGCTGAGCGGGAGCGGGTGAGATTAATGTGTTGGTTGGAAAGTCTTTCGGTTTCTAACATTTTTGCAGGACCGGTGAGATTATTATGGCATCCTTCCCCCTCTACCGGTTTCACTGTGCGGTCGGCATACGAGGATTTGGCGGCCGAGGCCTTTGATGGATCGGTTGGTTTTCCGTACAAGTTCGTATGGCAGAGTTTGATTCCGAGCAAGATTTGTATCTTCCTTTGGATTGTGTTTCATAAAAGGATTTTGACGTTGGATAACTTGAAGAAGAGAGGAACCAGTTTGCCGAACAGATGCTCGCTCTGCAAGCAGGAAGAAGAAAGCATAAATCACATCTTTGTGAGCTGTAATTTCGCTATGGAGCTTTGGAGCATTCTGAAATCCTTCGTTAATATTGAGGAAGAGGTTTGCAGAGCTACAGATATCACTGACAGGATCAAACTGTGGAAAAAGAACAGTCCGGTTGATGCCGCTCAGTGGGGCTCAAGAGTGTTTATCCATGCTTTCTGTTGGAATTTATGGCTGGAAAGGAATGCGAGAATCTTCAAGGATCTGGAAGTTCCCCCTAGAGTTGTGGCCCTCAGAATCGGAAGTGTTATCGCCCAATGGTTGACTGCAGCAGAGAAAGTGAACAGGGAGACTGCCGAGAGCTGGCTGAATGTGCTAAAACTGAGGTTATTTCCCACCAGGACTTGAGCTTTTATGGCCGCTGGGCCTCTGCTGGCTCTCGCGGCAGCTTTGCTTTTTCTTTCTTCTTGATTTGCTTGTTCCTTTATTTTTGTTCCCTTCTGATGTACGTCCCTTCTCTGGTGGCTGCGTTGGGCTGCCTCGGCTCGTTTTTGTTTGCCTCTCTTTGGGCTTCTGTTTGTACTTTTCTATATCCCTAATAATACTATATCATCCTTATAAATAAAAAAGATAGGGAGAGCTTAGGGATTGGGAGGATAATTTTTTTACTGATTTCTGCTTACTCTAACAAAAGACCCAGAGTACATATTTATAGCTAATGACTAGAAAAACCTAATAGACTATCCCAATATGACTCAAATACTACCAACCCTAATAATAATTATCCTACCATAATTAATAATAGAAAACCTTAATAACCATGTTTTTGTCATTCCCTCTCCTCTTGAAACCAACCTTGCCCTCAAGGTTGCCCGATTTTACCCACTTCTTCACATCTCTTATGCCATTTGCGCCTTGCCTTCTCCGTTTCTTGCGCTTCCTTTTCTTCCAATCGTACTCCACTACTTGACTTGTGCTTCTTGTAACGATCTTATTGTGCGTTCCCAACTCTTCGAAATTCACTTCTATGGACCCACCATTCACTTTCAATTCACTCTTCATTACACTCCAGTAACTTAAGAAATCTAAGGAGGTTTCTTTGTATAAAAATCCATCATTGAGCACCAATCGTTAAGGCCTTCAAAAATCTTTCTTGGAGCTAGCCCATTTGTTTCTCGAATAACCTTCGGCCCATCATCTTTTGAAAGCCCACTTATCCATTCATTAAACTAGGGGTGGGCAACGGGAAACGGGTATTTGGGTATACCCGTACCCGTCCCGTTTTTTAAGGGTTACGGGTACCCATATTACCCGTATTATTATAAACGGATGGGACTTGGGATTGTACATTCCTAATATGGGTACCCGCGGGTTACCCGCAAATACCCGTTTGGGTAATGTGGGTACCCGTTATACCCATTTACCAGAAATAGCCCACAGCCCAACACCCCAACCCAATTCACTAATTCAGAAATGTGGCATTGGGCCTTGGCCATTTCGGCCCTTACCCTTAGTCGACCCTTACCCTGCCTGGCTGCCTATTCCCTTTCGGCTTTCACTTAACTGCGAGACAGTCAGACAGCGAGAGTGTGAGATAGCGTCCTCCACCCAGCGCAGCCGCAGCGCCAGCCTCAGCGACAGGCCGACAGCGAGACCTAGCTCACTAACTCAGCCTCCGCATCTCCGCCGCTCCGCGCGCTTCCTCCTTCATTCACCGGCGCGGGCCGCAGCGGCTTCCTTCTTCTCACTCTGCTGCGCCGCCTCCAATAGCAGACCAGCAGCAGCCAACTTTCCCAGCCAGGAGCAGGGGGAATATCAGCAGCATCACCATTCACCCGGCGTTGTTATCTATTTAGGTATGCAGCTGCCATTCTCTTTTCTTTTCTACTTACAGTACATATTCTGGACTCTAATTACTAGTTAGGTTTGTTCTGCTAATTACTAATTATGTTTCTAATTTCCAGCATCTGTCTATTTGGTTTATGTTGATTTGGTTTATAGTTTCCATGGCTAATCAAGGGAATGAAGCCAGTCAAGGGAATGAAACTTTGGGTATTTATGGGTATTATGGGTACCCGTTATCCGTCCCGTACGGGTAATGGGTACCCGTTTCCCATATGGATTTGGAACATGGGAAGGACTTTGGCCTCCAAATGGGACTGGGTACCCGTTTAAAACGGGACGGGTATCCCGTCCCGTCCCGTTGCCCACCCCTACATTAAACACACCTTTCTTTCCCACCATATTGAAAAGACAATCCAACCTGGGCCAAGCTTTGTCCCAAAAACTCGGCCCATATGGTGATGTGAAACCTGCATAATCCTCTTCTTTCTGTAAGTTGCCTTCTTGTACATTAAATTGCATAAGACAACCCATGTGAGACCCATAATAATTTCATTGTTTGTCCGCCACTCCCAACACCAAACCTCTTGTCAATCACCTTGGCCCAATAATAACCCAACAAAACTCCCTTCTTCAACTGCTAGCCCGCTTCCTCGCGACCCAAATGTCCCTAAGACCAGATCAGCTGCGCGACGCAACCTAGTTTTCCCTTGCTGCAATGTGCAGCCCAAGGTGGCCGACCCAACGCTCACATGAGGAGATACGCCATCGTACGGGAGCAGGAAGTCGCTGCCGCCCTAGTCTTCCTTCGTCTCGACCCCCAGCAGCGACCCGTCCATCTCCATCGCCTCCGCCGGCGTCTCAGTTTCTTCCTCTGAAGGCGAGAAGATCGGCGACCATCCTGACGGTTGGCTTGCGTGCGGCCCTGACTCCGTCGTCATCTTCTTCCTTCCCCCCTCCAGCGACGCGCAGGGCGGCTCAACACCGCCTATCTCCTTCTCCATCCCCGTCGGATTCCTCTTCAACAGCGGCTGGGTTTTGCCCTCAATTGGGCGAGAGAGAGAGATGTCTCCCTCTTTCTCGCTCAGCTTCACGATGGCGCGTGCGATTTGGAACTTCGGTAGCGAATTTGGGTTGGAGAGAGAAGCGGTGTCGCCGCCTCCTTCCGCCAATAGCTCCACTTCTTCTTTCGTCGGGGTTCTCTCCCTTTTAGTGGATGGCGCTGTCTCCGCGGAATTCTTCTTCCACTGGTACTCCGGCAGCATTTTCTCCTCTCGCAACGAGCGGGATTCCATTCTTGTCTTTTGGCCTCTCCTTCCCTTCGGTCGAAGCCGCCACCAGTGACATCTTCAATTGCTCGATCGGAGCCGCCACACCCCTCCTCTTCTCCCGCGATCCCTGCGACGTCTCTTCCTCCGTCGACGAATCCTTCTTGAACGGCGATGGGGGCTCGCCATCACCCCACACATCAAGCTTCCTCCTAAACTTCCAATTCACCACTTCATTCCGAACCAACGAACTAACCATTAGAGTTGCTATCGACGTTGGTTGTGGATGAGCCACGACCTTCTTTGTCATCGACGCATGGGACCAAATAGCGACTGCAAGCTTGTCGGGCGGAGACACGATAGTCGAGAAGTCATCGGCAACCGCCACGGCTTCTGTTGGTGGCAATGGTACCGTAGATTGTTCAACCATAGGTGGTGGTGTGGTTGTGGCAGCAGGATCTTCTTCTATGACATCCGTTGCCGACTCCTCACACTCAACGCCGCTGCAACTCTCTTCCTCGCCTGGCACCGCATGCAACAGCTCGTCCTCCACTGGAGGTGCTGTCTTTGGCACCTCATCACACAGCCGCGTTGCAGCAGCATCATTGTCCGCAGTTGAGAATGCAGCAAGAGCCGCAACATAGTCCAGAACTGACCGCCCTCGCTCCTGTGCCGCCCGCTCTTGCTCGACACGAAGGTGCTCAAGTTGCTGTTTCACGCGGTTCCACTCCATATCAGAGAGCCTCGATGAGCTCATGTTGGCTCTGATACCAATTGATAGAAACAAGATTCTATCGGATTTGATAATTTGGGGATTAGGGTTATACGAACATAATTAGGGATTGAGATTGGGATTAGGATAGGAAGAACAAATTAAGAATCGACCGAAGCCTTGGACTTGGGACGAAGAAAATTAGGAGATAGGGAGAGCTTAGGGATTGAGAGGATAATACTTTTACTGATTTCATCTTACTCCAACAAAAGACCCAGAGTACATATTTATAGCTAATGACTAGAAAAACCTAATAGACTATCCTAATATGACTCAAATAATACCAACCCTAATAATAATTATCCTACCATAATTAATAATAGAAAATCCTAACAACCATATTTCTATCACAATCATATAGAGGATCACGTTGTTTCATCCTATTAAACACTTCTTTGTAAGGAATAGCAATGGAGAGCATTAGAAATGTTGAATTCCACCTTGCAGGGCAGTCCAAAACCAGTCTCTTCTCACATGGAACACGCAATTGTTTACTAGTCTCTTGGAAAAACTTCAATCTCTTTGGTGTGGCTAACCAATAAGACACACTATTCCTAATTCTTTCAATACCATCCTTCACAACATCTAACCCATCTTTGACTATCAAATTCAATATATGAGTCAAACACCGCATATGAAGAAGTGCACCTTCCCTCAACATGTAAGATAAGTCCAGTTTTTTCTTAATTTTGGAAATCATTGCATCGTTTGTGCTACAATTATCCAATGTAATAGTGGATACCTTTGTGTCGATATTCCAATCGAGCATACAATTGACCAAGACAGATGCAAGTCTCTCACTAGAATGAGGAGCAAGAACGTAGATGAACCTGTAAAAAGAAAAAAGAACAAACAAACACAAGAACAAAGGATCACATGTCTATCAATTGCAAAGGCATAGTTAAAAATTTGTAAATTTAAATGAACTAGTTTACCTGAACATATGACTCCTTAAAATCCAGGAATTGTCAATATAGTGCACCGTTACAGCCATTTAACCTTTCTTTTGTTTACTTGCAGTCCATGGATCGGTTGTAATAGCAATTCTTCCTTTGTTTTCATCAATTACCTTCTGAATTTTCTTCCTCTCATTCTCATAAACATAAAAGATCTCTTTTTTTTATAGTGTTCTGTAAGAACCCCACTTCTAGGGATTCTAGAGACTGATCTTCGGCACGCGTAACTACTTGCAACGAATATGAATTTAGGGTTGAGAGAAAGAATTAGGAATTTAGATGAGAAAAACATAATAGAATTGGGAATCGGCTGAGGCCTAAGACTAGGAGAGAATAGAAATTAGGAGTTGAGAGAGATTAGGTTTAGGAGAGATACTTTTCTTAATATTGTTCTTCATTGATTAGTACGTAAACCCAAAGTACATATTTATAGGAAATAAACCCAAAACCCTAACAATTAACCCTAACCCATTCGGCTATACCTAGCCACCTAACTATACTAATCCTAACACTACTAATTATTATTATTCTATTAATATATATTCCTAACATTCCACCCTCCTTGAAAGCGACCTTGTCCTCAAGGTTGCAGTTAACTTCCGTCTTCTTGACCTTACGCTTTCTACGCCCAGTGGCGCTCAATTCCATGAATGAACGCTTCTCGTGCAACTCCAACTTTCCTCGACTCTCCTCCACCCACGTGACACATGTTACGTTCTTCATGGCCAAACAATTCGCCCTCTTCCTTTTCGAAATCCCAGCATATAGTGCAAAGCAAAGCGCCTCTTCGGAAAAGTCCAGTTCAAGCAAAGGGAACGAAATAAGAATCGAAGAATTGTTCTTTCGTGTGCTCTAGCTTGAGGTCTTCAGGGATATGCTCCATTAATTCTTCCATGTGCTTGGTGATGGTGAAAACAGCCCATAACTTTTCTCCACCTTCTCTTCCTTCACCTTGTACTTGGCCCACACTTGATTGCAAATAAGAGCTAGAGCCCAAACCATTAAGTCTCATAATGCTCTTCTTCTTTTCAATTCCGTTTGGGCTTGGATCCCTAGCAAGCCCACTTGCAAACCTCATAAATCCTTCATCTTTTTCCTCCAAACCTATCTCCTTTAGATCACACCTGTACGTGGGCACTGGGCCGGGCCGCCCACGGGCTAGCACGGCACGACACGGTTATAACACGACACGAGTACGGACACGAAATAAATGGGACAGCCCGACACGAGCACGAATAATTTATGGGCCGTGCCGGGCCTAAACTTCATGGGTACAGACATGAGCACGAGCACGACACGATATATAAGTGGGTCGTGCTGGGCCTAATATTTTTGAGATTTTATTAAGTATAAGAACAAATATGACACAAAAATAACATTTATTTGATAGAAAATAAATATAGAAAGAATTATAGGTTCAAATATTACAAAATACAAGTAGAAAAATAATTATTTGTTGTTGTTAGAAGTGTCATAAAGATATATACGTAATTACTACCATAAGTAAAAATGGACGAAGAATTAAACAAAGCCAAATCATACCCGCTATACTTTCAATTTTCTTGTCCCCCTTATTTGTTACTTTTCTCAAACATTCTCGGTTAATACAATCTTTCTCCGTCCAATTTTTCACCTTATTTTTCATTCTCTCTTTTATTTTCTTCATTTTCATTAGTCACGAATACGAGCACGGCACGAGCACGAATAGGCACGACACGATTCGAACCGTGCTCGGGCCTGGGACGGGCCTAGAAAAGTTAACAAATGGGCTTTCACGGCACGACACGAAATAAATGGGCTCGAAGCGTGCCCGTGCCGTGTCTTCCCAAGCACGGCCCAGCGCCCATGTACAATCACACCCCATGTTGGGCTTAAGCCCTTCATGATTGGGCCCAACTCCATATAATAAGGCTTTTATTAGACTGCCCTTGGGTGACCCTTGGATTGAACCCTCCGAAGCCCAACTCGGCTCAATACCTCCTTCAGACCAACTGATTTATGTCTTGTCTGGCCCACTCCGATTGGTTTCTTTCGGCCCGCCTTGCTGATCCAATCCAGCCAACTCGAGCCCACCAACCCAAACCACAGCTCGGCCCACTGGTTCTGGCTGCTTAGTGGCGAGACCTAGGGTTGCTGGAGAAGGAAACCCACCGCCTCCCAAGAGCTCCTTCTTCCTCGGTGAACCCTTCGCCTTCTTTTCCGGCGGCGTGCAAACAATCCGGCGGCGAGGGTGCTGCTGCGCTTCTGGCTCCGTCCTCCGACTCCTCTCCCTGCTCATCGACGACACGAGGAGAGACGTCGTCGAACCTTTCTCCATCTCTGCGTCGATCATCTTCTTATTCCTCTCATTCTCCGTCATCGCCTGCCCGATCGAGAAGAGGGAAACGCCGCTGCCTTCCTCCTTCGTCGACGCCGAGAAATCCACCAGGTGGGTGGTCGGCGATCTCGATGTCGTGACAGTCGCCTTCTCTTTCCTTTTGTCTCGCGTCCTTGGCGGTTTCTTCTCCCTGCTGGTCGACGAGACAAGAAATCCCACTTTTGATTGTGGCTTTCCTCGCTCGACTCCCGGCTTCATCAAGACGACCCCGCCGCTATTCATCGCATTCGACTGGTGTTGTTGGCCTCCAGCATCGCAGAGCTCTTCCGAAATTGAAAGAGTCCTAGAACTCCTAGTTGTTCGAGCCCCTGCACTCGAGGTTGATGCCTCGACTTGAGTCGTAGACATTCGGCTCCCCTATTGCTCGCGTTGAAACTTGCGTTGGCTCGCCCAGCGACTGCTCGCCACACTTTTCTTCAGCTTCACCTTGTTGTTGGTCGACGATTTGCAGGAGGAAGAGGAAACTGCGTCCGTCCTCAGCTTCTTCCGAAATCTCCAGGTCGCCACCCGATTTGGTGTTGATCTTTTCTCCGCATCTCTTGGTTCAGATTCTTCTATAGAGGCAGCTGCCCTCTCCTTGACGAGGGAACGTCAATTACAGCAAGATCTTCTCTAGTCCCAGCATTGTTTGGGACCTCGGCAATCTCTCTCCGCGCCTCCTTGACCAAGCCTGCCACGATTTCAACCGTGGTGGTGGCCCTGATCGCATCGGTCGTGGCGGGCAGCGGTGTTGGCGCGTCTTTCCTCAGCCACTCGGTGGTGATCACCAACAACTGCGGTTGTTCCAGAACCTCGGCAGTGGCTTCAACAGGTAGAGAAATAGCTTGCAATGATGGTGATGGTGGTGTCGCAGGAGGGGCAGCCGCCGTCTCCATCGTCACGAGCTTGTTCACATCTCGTTCGACCTCGATTGGGAACACAGGTTGTTCCAACCAATCTTCAAAATCCGTTTCAGCAACCAGCGGTTCAATAACGACTGCGGTCGGAGGTGAGATTGGAATCCTCTCCGTTCTCGCCCCTTCCAACTTCATCTTAAGAGCTTTGGTGAGTTCTTCTATTGAGAGCTCGAAATTGGTCGAAACCATGGTACGAGTGCCACAACCGGGCTCTGATACCACTGTAAGAACCCCGCTTCTAGGGATTCTAGGGAGTGATCTTCGGCACCCGTAACTACTTGTAACGAATAGGGATTTAGGGTTGAGAGGAAAAATTAGGGATTTAGATGAGAAGAACATAATAGAATTGGGAATCGGCCGAGGCCTTGGACTAGGAAAGAATAGAAATTAGGAGTTGGAGATTAGGTTTATGGGAGATACTTTTCTTAATATTGTTCTTCATTGATTAGGACGTAAACCCAAAGTACATATTTATAAAAAATAAACCCAAAACCTTAAATATTAACCCTAACCCATTCGACTTTACCTAGCCGCCTAACTCTACTAATCCTAACACTACTAATTATTATTATTCTATTAATACATATTCCTAACATGTTCCTACTAGGAACACTAAACATGGGCTGAAGCGAGCATACAAATCTCTTGAAATAGAGATGATAAACCATCGAGAGAGGGTATTCATGCATTATGATAGCTACAACAAGTTCATTCTTAGAAGTACTAGCATCAAAAGCAGAAGCAAGCAAATCCTTTCTTCCTTTAGCCCTATAGTTAGGCCCCAAAATCTTTTGACTGCCTTCATGAATCTTCCTATGGAGATAACTAGATGTATGGTTTTTCAAATGAGACGTGCCAGTACTAGAATCCCCTCCTAATAGTTTTCCACAATAGTTGCACTTAGCCTTCCACAGATTATTGACCTTAGTCTTTTTGAAATATTTCCAAACCAGACTCTTAAGCTTGGCCACATCAATTACCTCCTCATCAATAACAAGAGGGGCAGGAGGATGCTGTGGAGCTGCTTCTCCATTTTGAGGTTGAACAGCAGTTGCCACCTCTCCAGCATGATTTCCATTCACAATTGCAGGTGCGATGGGTTGTTGGGGACCTTGGTTTTGCGGTGGTACATCAGACATTGCAGCTGCTTCTCACAGTGGCTCGCTGCACAAATGGCATACGGACACTGAGCATAGAATAAGATAACTACCAGTACTAAATTTCAAATGAAAGAAAACCACGTCAACTATATAATACAGAACCGCATAAGCAAGATTTGAAATTGTAAAATAAACCCACCTCAAGTCCTCTCTGCTACTGCTGAATCGAATTCTCACAATTACAAAACCACGTCCACTATATAATTACAGCTACTTCTATCACCCACTGCACACATGACACACATACACAAAGCATGTATTAAGATAACTAGCATACTTCATTTGAAAATAAAAGAAACCCAACGTCGATGAACATGAACTTAATTACAAAACCAAATCCAAAAACATGATTTGAAAATGAGGAAAGAAACCCACCAGGCCACCACGAGTTATCTCTGCTAATGTTGAATTTAGTCTTCTATCACCCACTGCACATACGACACACACAGAGGCTCGATTAATTACACAAACCCACTTCAAGGATATAATTACAGAACATGAGAATATCACAAAACTTATTCGCAAAGAAGAAAAGGAAGTAAGAAACCCACCTGGCCACCTCAAGTCCTTGTTGGGTCTTTGAATTTGCTTTGCCAATTGCCACTGCTGCTGTTTACGCTGGGGATTTGGGAATGCGAGCAAAAGGATTGAAGCTTTGAGGGAGGCGACGATCGATGAGTGAAAATTGAAGTGTGAGCAGGTATTTATACCTGCTAGTGCTAGGATGGAAGGCATGCGTCGTGATTAAGGTTTAGAGAAATTGGGAAAGATTTTGGGTAGATAATGCTAAAAATCGAAAAATTCTAGGGGGATATATGAACTGATATTGGGATTAAGGCAATTGTGGGATTGATTTTTGCATTTCTAAGCCTTTGGATGATCACACGAAGGTGATAATTGGAAAGAAGCATGGTCGATATTGAAGACTCTTTGGGAGAATCGGGAAGGTGATCGACTAATTGGCTCCTAACATCTATTAACCGAAGGTTATGAAGATGATGATGCTCTGCAGCAGTGAAGATGCAGAGGTTCCTGAAGAAGTGAAGATCGAAATGCCACCCAGAAACGGAAACGTTTCTGGGTTCCCTTCCATCCAGCTTAAACGAAGGAGCGAGACGGCGTCGTTGAGGAGCTCTCATAGTTTACCGTTGGGTGGAACTTGTTTGACGAATGGAGATGTGCCAAGTGTCTTTACCATTACAGTCAATTTAAATTTCTGTTTTTGTATTTCTGTTTTTACTGTTTTGTAACGTCAACTACACTCTAATTTTACATATAAAATGAAAGCCAGAGAGATCCCTTGCTCTTTGCGCATTTCACCAATCTGTGCCGCATTCTTCTTCTTCTTTCTTCTTCCGCTAAACCCTAGCTCCTGAGCAGAATGCCAGGGTTGAAAGGAAGCATCAACATATTCTGAATGTTGCAAGATCTCTTCGTTTTCAATATGGTATTCCACTTGGTTTTGGAGTGACTGTGTACTTCATGCTGTCTATCTCATCAATAGATTGCCTAGTACAGTTCTTGACAATAAGTCACCATATGAACTTCTCTACAAGAAGCCACCTACTTTTACTAATCTGAAGGTTTTTGGGTCCCTTTGCTATGCCTCTACTCTCCATAGAGACAGAACCAAGTTTGATCCTAGGGCCAGGCAGTGCATATTCTTTGGATTCCTAAATGGAATCAAAGGTTACAAACTTTATGACATCAACTCTCACACATTCTTTGTGTCCAAAGATGTGGTTTTCTATGAAACCATTCTACCCTTCCAAACTACCTCAGTTTCCACTTCTTCTTCTGATTCCATCACCAATCACAACCCCTCTTCAACTTCTACTGCCCAACCAGACCTCTCTTTCCATTCTTCTCTTCCTGATCCCATTACACCTCATCTTACTCCAATTCCTCCTGTTGTTCAGCAAACTTCACCTCCTCTTCCCTCTACTGCTGACCAGGCATCTTGTTCCATTCCCACACCCTCATCAACTTCTTCTATTCCTATTTCCTCTACACTGCCTGAGTCTTCCATTGGTGTCTCACCTGTCAGCTTGTAGTCTGAGGGGGAGGATAAGGAGATTGAAGTCTTTCCTGACACCAATGATGCTGTTGAAGTTGAATCTACCAAGAAACCCACTAGGCAACGCACTGTCCCTATATGGCATAAGGACTACCATGTGAGCTTGATTGCCACGAGTAACAAGCATCACATATCTCATCAAGTTTCTTATGATCATCTCACTGCCTCTCAGAGAGCTTTTGCTCTTAGTGTGCTTTCTGTAGAAGAACCAACTTCCTATGCAGAAGCATGTAAGGATCCACGTTGGGAACAGGCTTGCAAGGAAGAAATCTTTGCCTTGTATGAAAACCAGACATGGGAAGTGGTTAAGTTGCCTGCAGGAAAGAGACCTATAGGTGCCAAATGGGTTTTCAAAGTGAAGTACAGGTCTGATGGGGCAATTGAAAGATTCAAAGCTCGTTTGGTGGCCAAAGGCTATACTCAAATCTATGGGATAGACTTTTTGGACACCTATTCTCCAGTAGCCAAGATCAATTCTGTTAAGACACTGTTGGCAGTGGCAGCTGCTAAGGATTGGCATATCCATCAGATGGATGTGTCCAATGCCTTCCTTCATGGTGATTTAGAAGAAGAAGTTTATTTAGAGATTCCCCCTGGTGTTGATGTGCCTAGAGATTCTGGTTTGGTTTTCAAGCTTAAGAAATCCTTATATGGACTTAAGCAGGCAAGTAGACAGTGGTTTTCAAAACTCACCACTGCTTTACTCAAGAATGGCTATTCTCAGACAACCTCTGACTACTCCATGTTTGTTAGGTGGATCCAAGGAACAGTTGTGGTTGTGGTTGTTTATGTGGATGACATTTTGATTGCAAGTAGCTATCTTGGAGACATTGAACAGTTGAAGTTATTCTTGAGCAAGGAATTCAAGGTGAAGGATTTGGGTCCAATAAGTTACTTCCTTGGTCTATAAGTTTTGAGAGACCACAAAGGGATTTCAGTTTGCCAACGAAAGTACTGTCTTGAACTGCTTAATGACACAGGTTTTATTGAAGCCAAGGGATGTATTTCACCAGTTGATTGCAATGTCAAATTTTCTGCAGAACAAGGTGAGTTAATGTCTGATCCTAGTGTTTACAGAAGACTCATAGGTAGGCTGCACTACCTCACAATCACGAGACCAGACATTACATATGCAGTTCAGCAGTTTGCCCAGTTTTAATCAGCTCCATGTAATGGACACTTGCAAGCTGCACACAGGGTGATCAGGTACCTGAAGCAAACAATTGGACAGGGACTGATTTTCAGGGCTGATGCTAAGCTTGAATTGTCTGAATTTTGTGATGCTGATTGGGCAAGTTGCCCAGATTCGAGGAGATCCTTGACTGGCTACTGCACGTTTTTTGGAACCTCGTTGATTACATGGAAGACAAAGAAACAAACTACTGTTTCCAGGTCTTCCTCTGAAGCCGAATACAACGCCTTAGCTCAGGTAGTCTGTGAAGTTCAATGGCTCAGAAATTTGCTTTCAGAGATGGGTGTCAAGGTACCTCTAGCAATTCCCCTATTCTGTGACAACAAGTCTGCACTGCATATTGCTGAAAACCCAGTTTTCCATGAAAGAACGAAGCATATCGAAATCGATTGCCATGTTACTAGAGAAAGGCTAAAGTCAGGGTTGATTAAGTTGCTTCATGTGAGAACTGACGATCAGGTAGCGGATTTGTTTACAAAGGGGATGACGCGTTATAGGTTGAAGTTCCTACTTAACAAGCTGGGAGTTCACAATGCTTACTCGCCAGCTTGTGGGGAAGTATTAACCGAAGGTGATGAAGATGATGATGCTCTGTAGCAGTGAAGATGCAGAGGTTCCTGAAGAAGTGAAGATCGAAACGCCACCCAGAAACGAAAATGTTTCTGGGTTTCCTTCCATCCAGCTTAAACGAAGGAGCGAGACGACGTCGTTGAGGAGCTCTCACAGTTTTACCGTTGGGTGGAACTTGTTTGACGAATGGAGAAGTGCCAAGTGTCTTTACCATTACAGTCAATTTAAATTTCTGTTTTTGTATTTTTGTTTCTACTATTTTGTAACGTCAACTACACTCTACTTTTACATATAAAATGAAAGCCAGAGAGATCCCTTGCTCTTTGCGCATTTCACCAATCTGTGCCGCATTCTTCTTCTGCTAAACCCTAGCTCCTGCTAGGTTTCTTATAACATCACTGGAATCACGATTCACGATTGATTATCTGAAATATGGAAAGTACTAAGGGATTTGGGGAGATCCGGACGAGTATGGATCGGTGATCGGGGCGGATAGTAAGAAATCTGTGACCGCCCATCACCGTAGCTCACCAAAGTCGGGTTTCCCCGTCCCCGGCCCGCCATACGGTCAACGCGGATTCTGCTCGATTTAACCGGCTCGGTTTCGGGCGAGTACCCTAAATTCCGGTTAGGTTTCTCATCCCTATGAACGACTGAACCTACTTAAAACCAAAAGATAAAATAGGATATACCCCAACACTGCACCCTTTTCAAACCAATACGTATGTTTTTGTCATTTCTTGCTGGCCAATGATGTTCATTATTATTCAAATAATTCTCCGATTCCGAGTTCTCCAGCAATTCAATGCACCGACAGCGACAGTAAACCCATTTGGCGCAGACGTGTCCGATCCGAATCCGACCCGCTTAACCCTTATCTCTTGATCTAAACGAAGCGACAACTGAGTTCCTCAAGTTCCGATGACGATCTCGCCCTTCTCTCTTCTTCGTAACGTTCTTTTTCCCGGTGGGAATTCGCCGCCGTTGGGCGGAGCTTTCGACCGTGCTAAATTTGCGTACAGTGCGAGATGCGATCTGAAGTCTGACGTAATTAGGGTATTTTGGGATTTAATAAAATAACAATAATGAATTAGCCTGGCGAGTAGTGTGTGCTAATGAGGACGAAACATCGGAATTAATTAACAAAAATCTATTCGCTAAACGCCGCCCTGGATAACGACTGTATTTTGGGTAAACTGTGGACTGGGCTCTGAGCCTCTGACGAAAGAGACAAAATTCAGGAAAAGGATAGAATAGATAGAGTGATAGACCCTTAAAACGTTCTTTATTTTTGAACTAATTCCACTGTAATATCCCAATTATAAAAAAAAATATTTTATTTTATGAGAATCGAAAAAGTTTATTAAGCAGTGGCCTGGCCATCTGTCTGCCTCTCAAACAATATTTACACAATCATTTCCTTGCTGACAAATATGAAAAGACAAGTTTAATCTCTATACTACTTACTACCAATCCCAGTTCAATCTCTCAAATTCTTGCGGAGCACCGGATCGGCATTCACTCAATTAATAACATAAATATTGTTTTTTTAATTTACCATAAATAAGACGGATTAAAAAGTATTGACACAAATATTGTGTTTTGGAGAGCAAAAACAGCGAGACTACCTGAGACTCAGGCGTTGTGGTCGTTTTTTTTTTTTGGATCATTTAATTAAGGTTATGTTGACACCTAAAAATTAATTCGGTCGAAATTAAATGCCGCATTAATTAGTCTCGGCATTTAATTCGATATCGTGGGTAAAAGACGGCGTCGTTTGAAATTAAGCGGCGTCGCGGAGAGTCAGTACGATACCGCGATACAGAAAGACGGTACCGCAAGGAAACTCAGCGGTACCGCGGCACGGGAAACGACACCGCTCACTGAAAAGCAAAAGGGGCCGCGCGTTTAGTGTGGGTTATGGAGAAGGAGTTTTCTAATTAATTATTATTTTTATTCCTTTTGGATGGGGAAAAGCGGCACCGCGGAGAGTTAAAACGGTACCGCGGATGTAAAAACGATGCCGCGGGAGGCCTTGATAAGCGGTGCCGATTAAATAAAAAAAATCATATCGGGTAAGTGAAGGGCCTAAATCCTGCCCAGCCCAATGCGAGTGAAAACTCTCGGCGGTTCAGTGAATTGGAATTTTTTGGCTATGTTAGCGGTGTCGTTTAATTAAAAACGGTACCGCGAGTAAGCCCAACGGTACCGCTGTATTAGCAAACGACAGTGTTTAATATAAAACAATGTCGTGGAGTAAAAAAGCAAACAGAGCTGTTTGGGGAAGAAAACGACATCGCGTGAGATTCACACCAACCCAAGCGAAGAGGAGATCAAGACGGTTGAGACACGTGGGAGTTCACAACGGAGCAGTTTAGGAAGCGGTTCCACCTAGCGTGAAGACTACGAAGCGGTTTTTCGAATAAAAGCAGTGGAGCAAGGAGAGAGAAGGGGACAACCAAATCAACACAAAAACAAATATGTCAAACTTTACCTTTTTTCTCTGTAACTCCTTCGCGGAGCTCTCCTTCCAGGAAGGATCTCCATAGGTGTAGTCTTAGTCGTAGTCGCGGAGCTCTCCACAGGAATCTCCATAGGAGTAGCGATAGCATAGATTCCTCAAAACTCAAACACCCTCGTTCGAACGTAGTTTGGAGAGGTGCTAACCGTAGTAACGGTCGTTCTTGGTTAGAAGTCAGAGGTGCATCGATCAAATCAACACCGCCCAGCGGTGGATATTTGACGGTCACGTTGATTTCACCATTTAGAGGTGTATCGATCAAATCAACGGCGCCGACATTCGGCGGCGGATATTTGACGGTTTTCTCGATTTCAGCAATCAGCGGTGCATTCTATCAAGCGGCACCGCAGGAGTTTCCACCGCGAAACATCAAATCAACATCGCCGGAAACGAATTCGGCACCGGCGGTGGCATTTGGTTTTTCCGATGAAACAGGTTACAGCGGCGGCGCCAAAGACTGAGGTAGTAGTGGTAGTACCGCCTGAGACTGAGGCGTGTTGTGGGAAATTGTACCTGGCGATGGCGCCAGGACTATGGCGGGTCTGCTGGCGTATTGCTGGCTACCCCCCTATAAAACCTGCGAATTTTGTTTCAGTTATTCACCACACAAAAAAAAATCAACGAAGTTTGAGGAGGAGAAGCTCTGGTTGCTGCTACAAAAAATGACTAATAGGTAAGAGACACATTTATTTTGTTTTTATTATATTATTCAAATACTATTATGATTTTCTTTAGATAATTAGTGAGTTTGTTATTTTGTAGTGATTTTAGAAGATTTGAACTAGTCGTTTGGTGGAAATCGGAGAAAGTAGATGATAATTTGGGCGTCAAATCCGTTGGTGGTAGTAGTTTAAGTTGACGCTTCCATCCAGGGTGACGTATCACAAACTATGTGAGAATCTAATTCCGAGAATACGGCGTAGAGACGAAGCAGTACAAGATAGTGATGTTATCACATGTTTCACTTACCGTCTTCCAGAATGACAGAATGGTGTTTTATTTCATTATTCGATGCCTATTGTGGATGATGATAGTTTGACTGTGCTTTTCGATTTTATGGCACAAACCCTTATTGTTTAGGTGCTGAGATACATGTTGAACTCAATGAGAATAGGGATGAAGAGGAAGAAGATACATGGAGCATGCCATCCGATCATGACGATGTTGACGGAGAGGAGGATGATGCGGAAGAGGAGGAGGAGGAGGATGTCGAAGGAGAGCAGCCTAATTATCCTCCATATTTTTACTTGCAGGGTAATGAAGAGGACGACGAATTATCATATGTTAATTCATATGGCGTAATTCCAATGCCCGTTGTTGCTAGTTTTGAAGGAGAATTATACAAGGGGCAGATATTTCACTCGAAACAATCTGCACAGGTGGCGATTAAATACCACGCACTACAACGCAACTTTCAATATGGCGTGGTGGAGTCGTCACCTTCAATCTGGAAGGTCAGATGCTTGAAGCACAAGGATAACAATTGTCCTTGGATGGTGCGGTTTGGATGTCGAGATGTTGGAAGAGAATGGACTCTCAGAAAGGCCAAGTTGGTGCATTCTTGTAGCAGTACGACTCAACTGACGGATCATCGCCATCTTGATGTCGATATTATATCTAAGGTCGTCAAACATTTGGTACGTGCCCAACCAAATATGATTGTTCTAACTGTGCAGGCCGAGTTGAAAGATAAGTTTAATATGCAAGTTACTTACAAGAAGGCTTGGTATGAGAAACAAAGAGCATTGGAGAAGTTGCATGGAAATTGGGAAGAATCCTACGATTATTTGCAAACATTCTTGCGGGTGGTAAAGAGAAAAATGCTAACATCAGTGATTGATTGGGTAAGAGTTCTTTCAGCTCAACAAGGTCATTCGATCTTTCAGCGAGTATTCTGTGTTTATGGACCTTGTATAGATGGATTCAAGAATTGTCCAGGAGTCATGGTTGTTGATGGAACATTTCTTACTGGAAAGTATAAAGGAGTGCTACTCATGGCGAGCTCATTTGATGGCCGGAAGAAGATTTTTCCAATAGCATTTACCATCGTGGAGAGCGAGAATACTGAAAGTTGGCCATAGTTCATAAATCACGTTCAAGGTTTGACCGATCGAAATGATGTCTGCATCATCTCGGATAGACATGCGGGACTCTATGAAGCCATGGGTGACATCGGAAGAGGTTGGGAGTGGAGGTGGTGCATGCGACACTACGCAAACAATTTGCAAAGAAAGACTAAAAGCAAAATCATGTATAAGCAACTATTTCGAGTAGGTAAGCCTTCTTCATTTAATTTTGTTATTTACTTTAATGTAATTTTGTCATGATTTTATCTAACTCGTTTGTTATTTACTTTGTTAGCCGGAGAAAAACGCTTGGAGAAGTTCGATCGTCAAGTTGAGCAATTTAAGAAGGTGACGGCTGATAGAATTCTTGTGATAACTGGGTGGATCAACATCAAATTCGTTGGAGCTTAGCGCATGATAACTATAATGGTGGGCGTCGATGGTCTATCATGACATCCAACATGGCAGAGAGCATCAATGGTGTTTTCAAAGGTATTCGTTCACTTCCTATAGCTTCTCTTGTGCAACATACCTATTGGCGATTGGTGGAGAAATTCGATAAGATGAGGTTGGAGACAGGAGTAGAAATTAGAAGTGGACAGGCTCATACTTCCTCATGCCAAACTGCCGGAGCACGCGGTCTGGATTGTGCCACATCACCGCTGAAAAGCATATCAGTGGCACTACTGCTCGAAACGTCTCAGACTATATCACACTACCTCTAAGATGAAGTTCCCTCTCAACGTAAGGTTGCCACTACACAAAAAAAATTGGTCAAGTTATTATCCTTAAATCTAAAACAAACAAATAAAAACTATTCTATAAAATTAAATGTTATATACTAACCACCATGGTTTCCATCTCGTCAAACCACAACTTGTACGGGAATAGCTGGTCACCATACTGACGAGTGTTGGTCGGAAGCCATCGAAGACCACGTGGAATGCATCCTCGGCAATTTGCGCCCTCGTCTCTGAATGTCGCGTGTCAGATGTGGGAATCGCTCCCACGCCCAGAGCTGCAGTAGGACGACCCATCCACCAAGGTCACCTCCTAAAGAAGTGAAGGAATGCATAATGTGCAAAGCCGACCTACCCATCTCACGATACAGGTAGGATAGAACAGCTGCTCCGCAGGCGAACCGTCCAGCTCTCTGCCAATCCTCAATCATAAGTAGGTACTGTAGGTGCACCATAGCTCCAGACCGATTCGGGAACAGTACACCTCCCATCAGAGATAGAGCATAAGCTCGTGCAAACTGCTCTGTAACCTCCTGGGATACATTTCACGGCAGATGACTGAATTCATCCCTCAGCCAAACAATCCTAACAACATCGCCTGAAAGATCATCTAGAACCCGTCCTAATAGTCTCAAACAGATCTCCGGCCACTCCTCATCCGTATGTCAACTACCACGGCATCACGGTCGATCGCCAGACTAGACAGTGTCACAACGTCCTCTAACGTGATCGTGACCTCACCAAACGGTAAATGGAAGGTCGGCGTCTCGGGTCGCCACCGAGCGCAGTAATCAAAATTGCATCAGAGTTCATAGGGACCAGCGGCAAAACATTAGACAAGCCAGCCGCTCCGAGATATGGCTGATAACGCTCATGGTATGTTGGTCGTACCTCGAACATGGTAAGCTCGATCACCAGCCTGTAGTGCACAAAACTTATCTTAATTCAATTTCATTCGTAATAATTCTAATTTCACCTAGTAAATTCTAATCTATCTAATCTAATCTAAAATTATACTAATTAAAAAAAACGTAATTCTATTCTAATTTCAGTACAGTTCACCAACTAAAATAATCTAATCTAACTAGCTAATTGAATTTACATGAATAATTATCAAATACTTACCTCGTTTGCCCAAACTGAGTCGATACGATGTTGGCCATGTCCCCAAAGAAGTACCAGATCAACCGGAGCTGGATCAATTGTCGCAGGCGGTAGTCTCATTGAATAAGGGTCCATAAGCCTAGGAACTGCAAAAGCAACAAAAACATTAATTTAAAAAAACAGCCAAAAAAAACCCGCCGACGGCGAGATTCTAGTCGCCGCCGGCGAGACTTTCACCACGAAAACGGTCGCCGCCTCCATGACCTCGCTGGCCTCTCCCCCTGCCTCTGTCGCTGACTGCTTCGTCTTCGTCGGACGACATCTCCGTCAAACTCAGGCGGTGGCGCCTTTGTCTACAGCGGTGGTGCCTGTGTTTGCGGCGGTTGGGACGGCAGCGTGGGGTCTGGTTAGAGCGATTGGGGGTGGTGGTGTTGGGGGGGGGGGGGGGGGGGGGGAGGTGTGGTGTTGAGGGGAGGAAGAAGAAGAAGATAAGAAATGCTTCGACCGCTAGGTTTAAAAAAGAAAATGAGTGGTGGATGGCGAGGGCGTTGGAGACTCAGGCGCCAGCGCATATGACTGGTTTTAAAATTTCAAAACGCGGCCCTGCATTAGTCTCTGGCGGCCCCACCTCTATCCCTACACAAGTACACAATATTTGTGTAAATACTTTTTAATCTACCATATTGATGGTAATTTAAAAAACAATATTTATGTCATTAACCCCATTCACTCGACATCATGACCGAGCACCACGCACTAAATGAGTCTGCAAATTTTTTACTTTACTGCACTGTTTCCCCACATCTTCACAAACAATGAAAATTAGGACCTCTTCATTTGATGAGAGATGAACGAAGTCATCATCGACACACACTCTGCAACTTGTAGAGCCGTTATAGCGCACTAAAACACCACTTGCACTACAAAAAGGCAGTCATTACCGACATCACATTTTTCGTCGAAATTAATCAAATTGCATCAGAAATGACCTTTTCCTACGACATACAGTCGTCGGACGTCGTCAGAAATTGTCTCGTCGCTAATAAAATATTACTAACCAGTCGTCGAAACAAAAATAGTATCAACGACATAGAATCGTTAATAATAAAAAAAAATGTCATCGCAATTGAAAAACATCATGACGGCTGAATTTGACGAATTTTTTATTGACGGAAAATTAACTCATTTTTTATGAATTATATGCGTTAATAATTGAGCATTTTTGACAAGCCGTCATAAATACTATTTATACTAACGCTGACAAATCGTCGGAAAAAAATATTTGAAACAAGAATTTGAGGCCGATGATTTTTTTTTTATACGTTGTACACACATTTGTGAGGTTGTTAGGGCGTCAATAGTTTATTATTCTCGACGGTTTAGTCATAAATATTATTTTTACCGATGCCACCAAACCTTTGTTAGAACTACTTTTTTTCAAAGTGTCGTTGGAAAAATTACATTTATCGACGATAATTATTTACCATAAAAAATAAGCTTTTCCATTTAATATTAGAATTGGAGGGTTTCATTTTCATTTAAATCACGAAATGCATAAAAAGAATATTAGAGTACAAGAACAATACTCCTATCAGTACAACAGTACAAATTATTATTAATCTTCATATTTGCATTAACAAAACTACCAATACATTCACAAACATAGATATATAAACAAAAAACAATAATACTCCTATCAGTTCCACGCAACCCAACGCTAGCAGGGATAGATCTATTTAAAAAAAAAACCCAAATCTACTGAATCGGCTCCCTGTCGATGCCAAAGCAGATTCAATGAAAGGTTTCCGTCTATGTTCTTCCTTCTTCCAGCGTTCAACCTCACCTCCACACATCCTTCCCACAACCGCTGTCTCTCTTGTTTACTTGGGTCACGACAATACCTATGTGTCGTTGCTCAAATCCCAGAAACGCAAAAGAGGTCAGAAACCAATTTTAAACCATAAAATAGAAAGGAAACACACAAATCTTACCTTGATTGTGGTTGAAATCCGCGTCTGCTTTCTTAATGGCCATGATGTAGGTTGTGCGCAGGCGAAAGGAAGAAGAACATATCTGAGATTGCTGTCTTCAGGAGTAGATTGTGGTTGAAATCCGCATCTGCTCCCACCACCTCCGTCGCTAGAACCCAGAAAGGCAAAAAGGGAAAGAAAAAAAAAACGAAGTCAAACCTTATTTCCACCTAATCTAAACCGACAATCGAACCCCAAAAACAACATGCACATATAAATCTTACCCAGATTTGTTCGTTTCAGTCGATTTGAGGGTAGTCTCTGGTTTTTGCCAGATTTGTTCCCTATGTCGCTCTCTGTTTAGTGCGATTGAGAGAAAGGCAAGCAGAAGTGAGATGGCAATGGTTTTGTTTTGGTTATTTTGCTTCGTAAAAGGAGGGAAAGAGGAAGACTCGAGAAGGAAGTTGAAGGGTTCTGGGGACAAAACAGAGGATGGAGGGGAGAAGGGCGGCCGCTCAAGGGTTTCCAATTGCTAAAAGGCGTTTATATATGTTCCCAGACATTAAAGAGACTAGAGCACCCTCATTTAAGGTTTTGATGCACTAACAAAAGAATATAAACTTTTGATAACTAATAAAAATTTTATTAGAAAAAAGTAAATTTTGTGTGACGTGAATTTAATTAGATTTAAAATATTTGTTACAAAGTGACCATTTCAGTAGGTTTATATGACCAAAAGTATTAGTTGCTTCAAAAAATTGGAAGGATGGTAGCCAATAAATTTGGTTATGAAATTTAGTTGTGTGATATTTGGTAATTTCAAATTAAATATCTCAAATAAGAAAATCAATTATCATCTTATTTACGTATCAATTGAATGTGTAAAGAACCCTCTTCAAAATCTATGAATTATTGTAGATTACACGAATGCACAATGATAAAGTGCCAAGTTTGAATCATTCATTTTAATCCTTAGCTCGAGAGCCAGGCAAACGAGTCCCGCACTAGTCAGGATATTGTATCAATCGTTCAGATTTCACACTCGTACTTGCGAGTTAACCAAAAGCAGTCAGAACAGTGGTGTGATGGCGCCTGAGAGGGGAGAACGATAGTTGAATTCATTATACTATGGCGTTATCACCGATATCATTGAGCTTCGTTATACTGAAGGGCTTCGCGTTGTATTGTTTCAGTGTGAGTGGTATGACACCGCTCGCGAAGGCGTTGGTTACAGGAAGGATGGACATGGCACTATTACAATCAACACAACGCGAAGGCTTAGAACAGATGAGCCATTTGTTCTGGCTAGTCAAGCAATATTCAAGTTTATTATGTGCAATCTTTGAGAGATCCAAATTGGGAAATTG